GATTGGCATTTTCGCCAAATACCGTCACCAATCAGGCAATTTGCTAACTTTTGATCCAGTGATCAGAAAAAGATGAAATATAGCTCATTGGAATCGTCTCAACAAGACGAATCTAATGGTAGTAAAATCGCATCTCTAGGATTAATAGTTAATAAAAAATTAAATAAAATATAAATGATACATTTTCATTTTTATATTTTACTTAATTTTTCATCAAGTATTAATTCTAGAAATGCGATTTTACTACCATTAGATTCGTCTTGTTGAGACGATTCCAATGAGCTATATTTCATCTTTTTCTGATCACTGGATCAAAAGTTAGCAAACTGCCTGATTGGTGACTGATTGATGCCTGATTTTTCACTTTTCAACCTGTGCGTACTAATTAACATTCCCTTTCTTTTTTTTAGGAAACCTGGACGTGAGGCGAAGCTGAACGACCAGGATTTAAAAAAAAGAACTAACTATGGTAAGTTCTTTTCTTTTTTTTTTTTTTTTTTTATTTTTACTTAAGGGAACGTACTAATTAACGTTTCCTTTCTTTTTTTTTAGGAAACCTGGACATGAGACGAAGCTGAACGACCAGGATTTAAAAAAAGGAAGGTCTGAACCGATCTGTTAGGAGCACTAGCCCCTAAACAATTCCCTTAATTAAAAAATACAAAAAAATTTCCCTAACGAACTTTTAGAAATTTCTATCAAATGATACCTTTAATTAAAAAATTCTCAAAAAATAATTTTCTCAAATAAACCCTTAGAAAATTCTTTATCAAAAAATGCCCTAAACGATCCCCTTAGTTAAAAAATTCTCAAAAAATAATTTTTCCAAACGGACTCAAAAAATTTCTCAAAAAATCTAAAAAATCTAAAAGTTTCTTAAATAAAATCCCTATTAAATATTATTCAAATGGACTTTTAAAATTTCTTAAAAAATTATTTATAAAAGTTATCTAAAAAATGAATTTAAATAAAAAATTTTAGTTGAAACGGATTATAAATAATACAGTACGTTATACAAAATAAAAATCTTAACGTATTAAAATTTACATATCGGATACCTGATATGTGTAAGATAGATCAATACCCGATATACATATCAGTGACTAATAGTTTAGATATCAGGTACCTGATATGTAAAAATACCTGATATTTATCCGATTAGCCACCGATATATAGGTACCTGATATGTACCCGATAGAATTGATTTTGACCAGTGCTACTGAGCATTATTTGGCTTTTATTAGGTAGTACCGACCAGCAGACACAGCAAATATTCGGTATCATTTTAGTATTGATGATACCGAAGAAACGGAAACATGCAATGTTGAATTATGGAAAACAGATTTTTTTCCTGAAAGTAGGGATTGTATTATTCCAGTACACAACATTCTTTGCCGATTTGTGCCCGCTAAATATAAAATTTCTTCTAACCGCAACGTAACTGAATATTTAGCGATAAATCCATTAAATCGCAAGTTTCACATTCGGTAATTTACTAAAAGCTACAGAATTTTTCTTTACAATAATTGTTTAACAAATTTTATGGAATTGGTTATTTAATAATAAATAATACGAATAAATTGATTTACAATAAAATTTGACGAATCTTTAACTTCAGTGTTTTCTTATTTTACTTATATGTCATTATTATTTATTGATATTAATTAAAATTAATTAAAAAATCGGTTAAAAATCGTCAAAAAAGTTTTAAGTTGATCGTTGTTATTAATAAAAATCGATAAAAAAGAAGTATTGGTCGATTTATGGTTTTTTTTATGTTACAGCTCAACCAAAAATCGACCAAAATCGACCAGTTGATTTATGCCAAAATTTTTCCAAATTTTGTAATTAGCCAAATGTGTGACGAATCACGTGACGATGATGACAAACTTTGACGAAAGGTATTAATGCCGAAAGAAATGATTTCGACCAGTGGAAGCATGCCATTTTTGGTCTTATTTGCTATTTTTAGTGATATTCATGGGATTTGCAATCATATGGTCAAATATCAAACAGAAAGTCTCTGATGAACTCTATGCACGTGCCATTAAAATTGTCAATGATGATACACCGGAAATAGAAAAGACCTTTACTGAAATTAACGATAGGCTCACTGCAAAAGTTAACGCGAATATTTCCAATTTTAATTCATCATTCACTGCAGAAATCAGTAGAATTTATGCCGAAATCAATGGTAAACTTAATGCAGAAGCTAAAAAGATCAAGGCATGTGATGATGACTTCAGTAAGGAGGTGCAGAAAATTCTATCAATGATCAACAACGTGACCACAAGACTTAATAATATCGAAGAAGCCTGCTGTAATGATTTTGCCTCAGTTAATGCTTCTATCGATGCTCTCCAAAACGGATTAATTCAATATTATGCAATTGCCAGAAGAAATCAGCCAGTCTAAATCGACCAACAAAGTGTACCAAACCATTCTGAAGCATCATCTGAAAGTTCATCAGTTCAGGCACAATAACATTCAAGGGTATTAGCTTAACTATCTGGACTCAATTCAAGGAAATTTTTGATAAAATTAAGGCAGAAAAAAGGTTTAACTTAGAAGAAATGTGTCTTCATGTAGCAATGGAAATTCATGAATTAGGTGGGAATATTAAGAAAGTTACGGTTCAAGGGTTTTATGAGAGAAATATCAAGAAGAAGGATGGGTACATTAGTACTTTAGGTGATATTTGGTTTATGGTTAGATAATAAACTTAATGTAGTTAATAACATGGAGTAGTGAGAAGGAACCGCTATATTTGGCTTAGGGGCTGGCGGGCATTAACTTTTCGTGCTTTATTAAATGAGATCTACTTCAATCATTTTTTTTTATTCATTTTTTACTTAGCCAGCCGGCATCTTTCTCATGTATTACTTTACAAAAAGTTAATAAAGATTTTATTTTGAATTCTTAAAACGTGTATGTTTTAAATTCTCAAATACTTATCGTTATATTTATGATTATGTATAATTGATAGTTTCCTCGTGATTGTGATATATAATCACGTGCATAGTGCATGATCGACATTTCTCATATATATAATCCCAAGGCCCAAGGCAAAGCTTATCAAAAAATTTACTCCCGCTTTCTAATTGATCAAAAGACAATGTCTAGCAAGTGGTGTGCTTACTTTAGTGAAACCGAACCTAAAGAATATAGTTTTCTTAACTTTTATAAATACCGTTCGAAGCAAGTGGACTTTACTTTCTCTTTTCAGAAGGAATCCTACAAACTGCAAATGGATCTCGATAATCTCGAAAAGGATGGCTCGGAAGAATCGAAGAAAACTTCTAGTCTGCTAAAAAAAAATTTAAGGCAAGTGATTCTTTTTTATAAATATTCTTTGTATAAGTGATTCGCAGAGGGAGCTCTTATAGCTACGGTGACAATGGAATGCTGTCTACCTTACGGTCGGAATGTCCGCTATTGGAAAATGGAACCCATACAACTACGGTGGACAATGGAATGCTGTCTACCTTATGGTCGGAATGTCCGTTGTACCTGCTTTCCGCAGTGTACTAATTCCACATGGACCAATGAGGCCATACTTTAACTAATCATATTAATTCTTTATTTTTAGGGCCATCGTGATACTTTTTGCAATGTCAACGCTTTTTGGAATAAAATTGAACTAAATGGACAGCTACAGGATCAGTTACAGACCGCAGAGGTTATAATTTACTTGTTGCTCCAACAAAGTTCGACACTATATTAATTTATTTCTTTTACTGACTACAGATTGAAGCTGTTAGTTCGTTGATAAGTGTTTCCAAAAAAACCTTTGCAACAACAATTAGAAACGTTCATTCGGCAATCGAAAATGTTAACGATACATTGGTATGAAATACTGTTGATAATAAACATTTGTATACTTTATTAATATATTATTCACAGACAATAACAGGAACAGAAAATCCAAAAAAACGACCAGAAGAAGCAACTTCCCCTGTTATTACACCTCCTCCCAACTTTCACGGTCGTTCTCCCCCTCCATCCTATAAAAGTGGAGATAATTCTTTTGACGCCGAAACATCAACCGAGGCCTCTCCCTCTCCAGTAATGTTTTTTTGTTTTGTCTGTCGTATTATGTGTATAAGCTCGTTCGTTTCTAATCTGTATTGACTGACTTTGTATTTCTGCAGGATGAGATAGACACTTTCTTCCAAGGTCCTCCCAATGTTGTTAAAGATGCGTCTAGAAAGCGTAGGTCAGTGAAAGGTACTGGAAGTAAGAGCGTCAAACGAAATAAATCAAGTAAGAAAATTGTTGTTGACGCGGGCAATCATCTGGTTCCTCTATGAATATACAAAGAACATCCACTATTTTTAACACCGATGATGCAATCGTTGATGTTGGACAAACTACCTGTGATGAATCAGAATCACCCGTCAAAGCAGAAAAAGCGGAAAAAGTAAGTTTTTTGAGTAATCGACCACAATTAGCAAGATTTAAACATTAATCGGTTAATATTTATCAGTCAAAAACGATATTCTCATGGGGACACGTTGTTGACAAATTAAAAATTTCTGATAAATCGGATCATGATGTAAGTATTGAAATATTATAGGTATAGTAAGCATCCATTAATCATTGATTTTTTTTACTTATAGTGGTTAGCCAACGGATATAATATTTCTAAGGATTTTCGTGATTTCCAGATGAGTACGGTTGAATGATTGAAAAATGATCTGACACTCTCATATGCGACTGACATTGATGAAATCCTGTAAGTATCTTGTCGTGCAGAATTGATTGATATTTTCAATTTTTAATTTTTATACAAATTGCAGATGCCTTTCATCAATCATTTACGTGAAAGAGGATAAACTGGAGTATTTAAAATGTTCTGAACAAATTTGGCAAGATGCGTTACCAAAACCTTTGATTCCCTCAGAATTGCCAGTCAGTGCTCAGTTAAATATTATGCAATATAGTAGAGTAAGTCCTTTCTCAATATCAGGAACATTATAATAAGTAATAAATGAAATTAATGAATGGCTTGATTTGTTTCCGTTTATGCTTAGTTTCTAACGGATAAAAAATTGCTACGAGAGAAATGGTGCCATAACTGGACTAAATGGGAACATTCAATGACCGAAGAAGAAAAGAATATTTTTGAATGTGTCCAACTCGTATCAAGAAACTTGTAAGTTTTAGCAATTATTCGTTTTTGTTTGTGTTGCTAATGATGTATTGTTGCTATCTATTCTCCAGCTTTCTAAATATACCGTCAGATAGTATTGATAATATTATGGACAAAGACACCTTTGTTCACAAATATTGCCATTCGATGTTGGAAGAAATATTCAATACAAGTAATCTTAAACTCGTGTGGTAAGTGAAATCCTCATTAGTGCAACTATGCAATGTATACGTATACTTAGTTCCTGAATTGGTGAATCAGGGCCAATGGAGAATCTGACAGTTCAAAGAAACGACGGAAGTCTGATAACCATAAACATGGACGGAAACCAGATTTCCGGGTTCTTTTCAATAAAGAAAGTGAAATTATATTCGGAGAAATAAAACCTCCACGTGCTACTAATGTAATCGTAAATAAAGCGTTAATCAAACTCGCGGAATTTATGAAGGGATCGTTAGATTCATTGCACAAACAATTTGGGTATTCTCAAGCTTCTGAAACCTTCAGAATTATTATAAATGGTAAGTTAATGTAATTTTACTACAGCTGATCCAAGTATCTTCAAGCTAACTAGACATAAATTTGGTCAGGATGTTGTATTAAATGTTTCAGCATGGATATACCCTTTGATGGCTTATATCGTTTCAAGCAAATTGGTAAAATGCTGTTACCCACCGAAAACGCAAATTTTTTAACTATAACTTCGGTCATAGAAAATTTATATAGCTTAATGGTGAGTTTGTTAATTATAATGTCTGTCTATTTTTAAGAAAGTCAGTATATATTATAGCTATTATTTCTTTATTAGAAAAGAGTTGAACTATGATTTATAGATGAATTGAATAGACCAACAACACCTACTGGCCTGTCCTATCATAGGGATTCGAATACATCTTCTCATCTGGTTCACATCCCAGTCTTGAATATTCCACCTCCTGTGACATTGACTGAATTTTACTAAATTATAAGAATGATTAGTAAAGGCAATGTATTGCGTTATAAGTTTTCTCTGTATATTATCCATAAAAAAATGATCGACATTACAATTTGTGATTGCTTTATGTGCATGTAATATAAGAACCTAATCCAATTTTAAGGGTGTGTCCCAACCTAATTTAATTGCGAGAGAATCATCATTTGCTTTAGTAAAATCAAAGGCTACAAAATTCTGATCTCGCAAATGTTTGTCAATTATCTTGGATGCTTTTGTTGGATCATCTGTATATTGATTATTGACGCACAATTCTGCATATATCTTCACGACTTCCTGAGCCTCAAAATAAAGCTAAGTGTGAAATATTATTTCTGGCTCACATATATGCTTGATACACCCTGATGTCGACCACTAATAAAATATGGAACAATCCGATCCTGAATTTTTTTTGATTCAACACAAAAATCCTTGAAGACTACAACCGTATTCCTGTCTGAAGAAAATTTAGTTACGTCTGGAATTGCATCCGCTTTTAATGCACGAAATGTTACATTCTCCTGATATGCTTTTAGGCCCTTTGAAATAATTTATAACAGTTTTTCACTAATACCCTTTCCGATTAATACTAGATCATCATTTTTGACATATCGCTCACCTTTCTTCTCCTTGTATAAATGTTGAATTTTATTACCAAGAAGAAGATTAAGAATAATATTGGTTTTTTCACTATCTGATCCACCGCAAATTAACAAATGAAAAGGAAATGCGGGACTTGCAGAGTGATTCATATTCTTTGAATTTTTGGTCTCGTTAAGATGGTATATATAATACTCCATTTTTCTCATTTTGGTTAGGCTGAGCATGAAATTACTATATCAAAAAAATAAGAATTTTAATGAAATACATGCAGTTTCGTCTTTATTCTATAAGGCCCAGTTCTCAGAGATGTTCTGAAATAACTATGTATGGGTCTTCGTAATTAGACATACCTTAGGGCAATCAAATTCTTTTCGCATAATTCCTTCTCAAGTTGATCCTGTGCTTGCTGTTTGATGAAATTATTTGGGTTCCCTCTATGAAAGAATTCATGATATTTTTTATGTTATACGTCTTGTACTTCGATAGTAAAGCCATATTCATAATAGGGAATATCGAGTTCTACTCCATTTGGATATTCTTGTGTCTTTAAGAAATCAGGCCTACGGATTAGTGAAGGAGAGCCAAGGTATTTTGTTAAAATTTCATGACATAATTTTTCTCTTTTGTATTTAGGGTAGAATGGATACCAGGTACTTTGATCTTTAATAGTATTAAGTGTTGCATGCCATATATGTCCTTTAACACATTTCCATAATAGATTTGAATAGTTATTAAAATATGAGGTAGAGAGACATTCACCATTCTGGCTAAATGCGATTTGCTTGGCTTGATCAATATCACAAGCATATCATCCAGAACAATGGGGATGCCATGAATTTGCATTTTTAATGCTATTAAGTGTTGCATTCCATTCATGCCCTTTAGAACAATGCCAATAAAGCTGTTGTGATATTAATGTATTTTTCAGAAAGATATTTCACATTTCTACTATATGCAATTTTTCTAACATTTTCAAGAGTATGTTTAGATACACTACGACCTGCACAATTTTTTTTCATGTGCAATATTTCTGGCAATATCAATTGTGCAAGGATTCCTATGCGAACATTTCATATACCAATTTTTTTCATGTATAACATTATTATAAGTTACTGACCACTCATGCCCATTAGAGCATTTCCACTGTAATACTTCTTTGGTGGCTTTACATTAGTTGGAAAAGCATAGTCCGCCTCTTTCTTTGGCAATCTTTTTAGCAATTTCAAGACGAAATGGATGATGATCTGCACAAGTAGAACACCATGAATTTTGATTTTTATACTATAAAGTGTTGCATAACCTTTGGAATAACACCATTTTAAAGGAGTCTTGCTATTAATATACTTATCAGAAAGACAAAATCCATTGCGTTCTTTAGCAATTATGCAAGCAACATTCAGGGATAATTTTAATCACATTGAGAATTAGTAAAGTTTTACATATATTCAAATCAAATAAAAATGAATCTGATATTTATTATAATATACCGTACTTGTTACAAACTGATATAAATCACTATAAATCACTATAAACAATATAAATCACTAAAGACACTATTTTATCGCTTAAAGATTTATAAAGATGAATTTAGATAGTAATGCCTACTATAAGCTTTGTTCGCCTGATCGTGATGATAAATATAATGAGATAATAAAAGCAATATACTTTTTACAATATAAATATGATAATGAAACACCAGAAATGTGGTACTCTCATGTTCATGGTCCATTTAGAAAAATACTTGAAGAGAACCCAAAAATATTTTCTAAGAATGGATATATTCGCATATAACCATGTATGCAAAGTTTTATGAAGATGGTAAAGCATCCTAGTGGAAATCTAACAAATTATATATATTATAGTGTGTGTGACTCCCTAGTATTCATCCCTGAAAGGCTTATAGGTGAATTTCTCTATCGAGATGGCCACTTAAAGAGATGTATTGTTAGCAAAGATAATCCAATTGAACATGTAAGAAGAAAAGAAATTCTCCAAGCTATTGATAGGAGGAAATTTCAGATCTGGCAATATAAACAATACATATTACAAGAAGAGGCTAAAATTAATCGTCTTTGTCTAGAGCTTTTCTCCCAATCTACCTCAGACTCAGAAAAGGATAAGTTGGCATCGGTATCATATGATTATGATACTCGTTCAGTCAGCTATGAAACTTACCTTTCAGCCAAAGCAACTATAGCAGAAAATACTATGCCAAGTGCTCCAAAATTCGAGCCAGCTTGTATTTCTGTTACCTCTGGTAACCAAGAAATGATTCCACTAACTTCTTATCAGTTATCAAATTGCAAAAGTGATATAGGTGAAATATTTATTTCATCTCGGTATGCAAAACAGCCAAAAGGCACTGCGTTGAGATTGAGGGATGGAACACTAATCATGATTGTTTAACTGACTTGACTGATTCTGAGAAATATTCTACATTATAAACTATTGCTTTTAACTGAAAATTAATATTATTTAGCCAAAGGTGCAATGTATAACTTATTCTTTATTTTTTTATGTTAAATAATCTGCATACATGATCGCCTAATAAAATTGGTTGAAGGCGCTATACATAAAATGTATCACCTGCCAAATTTTTCAGATTAGTCCTTAACCCAGATCCCAGTTAAGATCATGTGCTTTCTGAAGATTGATATAAATTGATTTAAGGGGTTCTTCCATTCTTTTTTATAATTACAAAAAAAGAATGTCATTTTGCAGATCACACCCAAGACAGAGAAGAACATATGAAGAACATAAAGTTGAGCTGGAAGAAGAGAACTATCATCTTCATAGTGAATTGCAAATAGAAGTTGATACTAATCGCCAGAATGAAAGACGAATTAATCAACTGAAACGGGATTATACCCGATGTGAGCAAGAAATTCAAGATCTCAATAAGAAGATAGAGTGCCTTGAAAATGTTTTGAAAGAAGAAATAGTAGGGTTAAAATCTGAAATCTCTACCCTAAAAAGTCAGCTATATAAAGCTAGGAATTATGTGCGAGATAAGGGAAATATATTTCTAGTTTAGAAGAGCAGTTAATAGAATCTGAGGAACAAGTTAAGAAATTGCGATGCCAGATCAGAAGCATTTCATCGCGAAAAAATTTGCCTGAATAAGGGAATTCTCTAGACTTGTATAATTCTGATGATAATATGGCCACAATCACAGAGCTAGCAAATGCTATAGATGGTTATATATATGTGGATAATCGAGCAACAACTAGGGATATTCTTATAGACCAAATAAAAAAAGCTACAAGACAGATACGCTGAAAAGAAAATAATTTGCATCAGGATTTAGTCCGTGAGCAACGAAGGCATTATGATGCAGAAGCTAAGCGTGATAATGAAATTATACGAAGGCAACTTGCTGAAGGTAGGATAACTAATGTTATTGGTGATCTCCATCAATATCAAACTAATACTCAAAACCAGGTAAATAGAATGATAGGTAATATGGCAAGAAAACAAGCCTGTTGTAACCGAAGATATGGGATAGATTACATAGAAATTAATGTTAGATAGTGATAATTAGTTAACTGAAAATATAATACGGATAAATAATTAGCCGAAGGATAAATAATTAACCGATAAAATAATATTTATAGTTTAGTTTAGTCACGAGATAGTTATATGATAATACATCTTTATTTTCTTATTATTCTTAAATTTTTATTAGTAGAAAAGTTAGAAATAGTAGAAATAATTTTCTTAAAAATGTATAAATATAGGTGGGATTCGATAGGAATTCCGCAGTCAATTTTTGGCTCAAATAAAATAATGTTAAATATTAATTATTAAAAGTTATTCAAATATGAATATGCTCATTGTACGCTTGAGAATTAATTAATATTATATTATAAGTCCAGAGAAGTAAAGTAAGGGAAATTATCCCAGTTTGATTATTATATGAATTGTAGTAAGAAGTTAAGAGAACTCTCGCAGTTTGTAAGAAATAAAGTGGTAATATTTGAAAGAATAAATATTACATAAAGAATAATATTTTGGGAATATTATGAATGTAAAAGAAAGAGAGCGAGAAGTTAAGAGAAAATGAAATCTAAACCAAGCATAATATTGAACTGAGTATGAGTTTAATCTGCTGATATGTGGCAGGTATCGGTGACACCGTATAGGTGTGCTGATACAAGAAAAATTTGCCTTACAATTATTGTATTAGGAAAATGCCCACCACTTACAGCGAAGTAGAAGGGATATAGGTCTATATATGCTGCCCAAATTATTTTGGAATGCCATAATTCATTCGGTTTATATATAATTTACTATGTAAAGTGCCAAAATAATTTGGGATGCCATAATTGAATTTGGGATTTTACTTATAATTACGGCAGTCCAAAATAATTTGGGTGACATGTATATATAGGTCTGTTAGAAGTTAATCGAGACAGGCTCTATGAACGATACGAGAAATGGAAAATAAGACCTAAGCAGAGCGCCAGAATAATTTAAATTTACAGAGACAAATTTTGGCGTTTCAGAATAATCCACCTAATCAAGTAAACATGGCAGGAATACCTCATCCATATTTTGACTGGGATGATAGTATCCCAGACTTTCTTGCATAACTTAGACTAGACTTGCAGAATCGAGAAATAGATCTAAATGATAATGCAGCAGGTCCTCCAATAGGAAGAGATAATGCAATAGGACATTTAAGAGCCTGTATATATGAGAGGAAGGACTTTAGAATGGTTCGATGATGAGATTACTACAAAGCAGAATTGGAAGCTAACTAACTTACTCGATAATACAGGGCAGGCTAACTTAGTTGCAGTAAATGGGCGAACTGCAGTACAAATAGGAGTTAATGCATTAAATGAGGCTGTTGGCCAACCAGGAAATGCAATAGTCAAGTTAAGAGCTGTAGAAGATGCTTGGAATGAAGACTGGCGTATAGCAGGTGGCTGTTCTACTAATGCTCCTGTAAATGCACCAAATGCTAATGCTAGAAATACAGTAGTTGTAGCTGGTATTCGATTTGGTCAAGCTATATATATGGTGGCTAAAAATTCATAGAAGAGGAACTTCGGGATTTGCCACTAGTCGAAATAAGGCAAATCAGCTAAAAATCGGATATCTGATTTTAGGTCAAATTACAGCTGAAATATGTCCGATTTTTACAAAAAAAATATATTCCGATTGTTATCTGATTGACTGCCAATCAGATGTACTTCAGAACTTAAATCGGACATAAATCAGAACTAAATCATACTAAATTCGGACAGTCAATCAGATGTACTTCGAAACTTAAATCAGACATAAATCAGAACTAAATCATACTAAATTCGGAAAATTATTATATATAGAAAATTTGATTTAAATTTATTATCGTTATATATTAATTATCAAAAATATTTACGAATAATACATGAAAAAAAAAATTTAAAATAAATGTAATCGATAGTTCCACTTCATTCAGCTAAATCATCACCGGCTGCACTTTTTTGACTATCGATTAACACCTCTTCCGTTTCTTCACCATAGTCTTTATCTTTGTCGAAACCACTTCTACTATCGATTTCCGTATCATATATAAAATCCTCTTGCTCAACATATGACCATTGTGGAGCATCTTCAGGATGCATTCGGTCGAAGTGTTGAACTTCATCATCATACTGGCGAAGTTGTTATAATTTTGCCATTTGAATATCTGCCGAATGTGAGTCAATGACGTTTCGAAGTAAATTTTTTAGCTAAAAAAGACAATATAAATAAAATAAATACAAAATAAAGAAAGGAACAAGAGTGATATATCGAAGTATAAATATCGAAGTATAAATATCGAAGTATAAATATCGAAGTATAAATATCGAAGTATAATAAATATCGAAGTATAATAAATATCGAAGTATAAACCTCTTGTGATCGCCAAGAATAATCATAGACGCATACGATCGTCTTATCTGGATTCTCTTCATCTGACTCACTGATTTCCGGCGAGTGGTAAGATCGATTTGCCAACATTTTTAATAATTGGCGTTTTTCATAACCAATTATTCTTTCGTCACTTTTCCTATAAAGATCCTTTGCAGCCTTAATTCGACGCAATTTTTTCTTAAATGATAAATATATAAGAAAATTAGCATAAATCATTAACATGATGATAAAGGAAAAAATTC